AGTAGTCGCTGGTTACTCTGATGCTACAGCCTTGGCTAAGCGGCTGCAACTTTCGGCGCTGCGAGCGGCGTGCTCTGGCGGCTCCGATGGCCAGGGCCCCCTACGCAGTGGATGACGCGTCGGGCCGCGCGGCGGGCTCTCGCCGCGTGGTCGCAACGCAGCTGGCGGCAGCGCATCGGGCATTCCACGCCAAGGCGGCCGAAGTCAAACTGGCCGTTCGCAAGGAGAACACGAAAGCTCTGGCCACATCTACGGCGCTCGAGATCGAGCTCACGCAGCAGCAGGGCTGGGACCTCAACTACACCGACTTTGTCGACGCCCATCAGGATCTCGGCGGCGACGCCACCGCTGGTTCCTACAAGAGACTGCCAGTCTCCTCAGCCAGGGAGACCAGGACCAAGATGCAGGGCCACAAGCTCACGAGGTCACTCAAACCTGATGAGCCTAGAGCCAGGGTTTTCAGGGCAGGACCGACGGCCAGGGCCACTTGGGACTCTGCCGGTATGGGAGTTCCCGACGGAAGCATGAGGCAGCTGAGGATCTGCGCAGTCAAGTGGCCAGGACGCGCCGAACCAATGGCTTGCAAATGGGGCGGGCGCAGCACCCATGGCGGTTGGTGAAGGGCCCCATCTCGGCCCTGGTCCTCGCGCTTCGCCGCAGCCACCGGGGCTTCGTTAGCGGCCGCCCCTGCGTCGTCCACGACGCCCGCAGCTCTACTTTACGCGCGACGGCGCTCTCCCGCGTTCTTCGGAAAGCTCGCGATGCCAGAGCGCAGGTGGGCCATCGGAGTGGAGGAGGTACACCGGCAGGGCCCTGGCACGCGGGCCAGGCACGCAGCTGCTGCGCCGCCAGTCGCAAGCACGGGGCCCATGTCAGCAGGCGGCCTTGAGAGGGCCCATCCAGAACATCTATTGGCGCCGGGCCACGGTTGGAGCAAGGTGCCCCTCAACCCCAACAAACTGCCAGCTCTGCGGCAGGACTGGCGGCTCCACGCGCGCGATGCGCGCGCGGCCCGGCGTCGCGACGCCATCCGCACCGACCTCGCGCCGGCGGCGGAGAACGTCAAACGGCTTGGGAACCCGTTCGACGACCTCTTCGCCGGGGGCCTTGTCCCTGACGTGGCAGAGCTCTTCCAGCGGCCTGGCCGCGCCAGGGGCATGGGGTTCAGGCGCGCAGCGTCGCGGCGCCAGCTGAGCCCTTTCTTGGACGCTGGCTGGTCTGTTTTCGTGGACGGATTGGGCTTCGACTGGGACTTCCCCACTCAGCGCGCAGCAGGCCGGCCCACCAGCACGCGCAACTCCAGAAGGCGCTTCGTCGCAACAGCGCGGAGGGCGGTGCCGCTCGAAGCAGCCCCATAACAACTCCCGCGAGACGGAGGGGGACTGCGCGGTGAAGATGCAGACGGGCAAGGTTGCGGGCGGCCACTACAAGCTGCACATCGACTGCTTGGCCGCGGTTCGTTGCGCCCTCACCCCGCGTTGGGCCGCCGCGCCCCAGGCTCAAGGAGCCCGCCTTTGGACGGGCGCGGCCGACGAGCTGGAGGGCGCGCAGATCCTCAAGATCGAGGCCCATCTCGGGCAGGTGGCAGAGGCCGACGGGCGCGTCGCGCAGGTGCAACTAGATGGCAATCGGAAGGCCGACGCACGGGCCGAGGATGGGGCCATTTTGGCCAGGGCCAGCATCGCGGACACTAAAAGGTTGGAGGGCTGCTTCCACATCGCCAAGCTCGCGGCGCAATTTGCTGGCGCGCAGGAGGCGATGCTGAGCGAGCGGAAGGCGCGGGCCAGCATGGGCGTCGAGGCGTGGAGGGTGATCGACCTTGGCGAAGTCCCGCCGGAATTTGACGACCTCTAGGATGGCCAGGCGAGCAACATAGACGAGCCCAGTGCGACGGAAGCGCCGCCCGAGTTGCCCGGCCAGCAGCCCGACGGCGACGACGGAGACAGCAAGGCGGTGATGGGCCAGGCGACCTCGGCGGTGCGGCTCGTGTCCAGCGACCTGCATCAGCCGCTGCCCAGGGCGGCGCGGGCGGCGCGGCGCCGACCAGCAGCGGCGGACGGCTAGCTGGCAGCAGCGCTGCCTTGGCGGAGAAGCGACTCCGTGGCCTCGTAGGGCGCTGCCCTGACGGGCGAATGGCATCCGCCCCCCCCGAATCGCAGCGCTGTCCTGTCGGCGAAGCGTCCCCCTAAGAAGGGGAAGGGCGTCCTCGGTGACCTCGCTCCCCCCTCGAAAGAACTGCAGGTGTTTTGGGCGGGGCACCTCGAGGCCTCCATTCAGGCCAACGCGCGCTGGGCGGGTCCCGCGGTCCCTTTGGCGAAAGACTTCAGGAGGCCAGCCAAGACGGAAACTGTCGCCTCCCTCGGGCTCACGCCGGCACAAGCCTACTCGTCGGGGCCCCAAGTGCTGGCGTTCGAATGCGGCAAGAGCAGGGGCCGTGGCGCCCGCTATTTGGAAATCAAATCGGCACAGAGTCTGCCTCGGCACCTGGCGCAGGGGAGAATCCCGCAAGCAGTTCCAATTCGAAGATGCGCAACCCGTCATTCGACATAACGCATTTCGAGTTCCGCCTGTTTCTCAAGGCATCCCTCGCGCAGCACGGACACTCGAGAATCCCGAGCCAGAGCTGCTCAAACATACGCAAACGAGATGAGCCTCACCTTTATTGGAACTGTGCCCAACTGCCATCTCCAAACTTCTCAAGAAGTAGCGCGGCGATACAACCGTAATTCCTTTGGGGGGAAATACGTAGCAACCCGCAGTTCGGATAAGAGTGAGGGGCGGCGATGACGTCGTCAGTCTGCGAGGCTCTGAAGAATCCCGCCGCAGGCGCCTAGCTTCTACACATTATGCAGTGAGCCCGCCGCAGACGTCGATTTTTTCGTTAAAGCAATGTGGGTGGGTCGCGGGGTGGGTCGCGGGTGGGTCGCGGGTGGGTCGCGGGGTGGGTCGCGGGTGGGTCACGGGTGGGTCGCGGGTGGGTCGCGGGTGGGTCGCGGGCGGGTCACGGGGTGGGTCACGGGTGGGTCGCGGATGGGTCGCGGGCTGGGTCGCGGGTGGGTCGCGGGTGGGTCGCGGGGTGGGTCGCGGGTGGGTCGCGGGCGGGTCGCAGGAGGGACGACGCAACAAAACAACAACAAAACAACAACAACAAGAATCCTCGCTGTGGATCCCCACTTCAGCCACGCACCCAGGGACGATGAATGACAGTTCGGGCCCCCCCACTATGACAGACCTATCGCATTGCGACCATACGTGTCCGTGCACAATATCCATGGTCCGTTCAGACTTAGGCTGTTTGCTCCAGACATCGGACCTGTTCTCGTGATATTCACGCCTCCCGTCCTCAGTAGGGGATCAGACCTGGTGCACACTCTAGAACCGAACGCCATCAGGACCTCAGCTTCTGTCATATCCTGTTCCGATATGTTTCGCTGCATGGGTAATCAAACTCGCCGACAGAGGAGTAACACATTGAGGTGTGTTCTAACCGCCAGCCTCCATTCTTGCCACCGGCAGGTACGGCCACGGAGGCACCAGAGGAATCCTACTGCGCGACGACCAAACCCACGTTCCTCTTTGCCGTTCCCGATCTCGGTGGCAGAGAAACCCTCTGACCGACCTGGGATGTCTGCCAGAACTAAACCTTACCAGGTCCACGTATTCCTTCTTCGCATAGAAGCCACACAGAACCTCGTGAGATTCTGCCATCCATCTGTTATAGGCGGACAGAATCCTCTTTTCATCAACACTCTCTGTATAGAGTACCTGCCGCTCGCTGGAATCAACCATGGGAGTTGGCTCACTTCCTTCAGGCAAGCATTACATACCTCATCGTTGTAGCATGCTTCGTCGCGACGCTTCGTGATGATCTGTAGCTCTCAGGAAGACGAATTAAGTAGGCAGAAGGTCCAGAGAATAGCAGCCTCGGGATGGGATACTCCGTCTCTCTTCATCTGAGATACAATCTCTGAGATTAAGACTCAGCCCCCGGAATTGGCGACAATCGCCAAACAACGCCTCAGAACACAAAATCCAATGTGCCTCGTCGACATCGACGGACTTCCCGCCTCTATCATCTTTGATTATCACCTTTCCACTCGAAACACTTCTTTGGGTCAAGGAAGATACTGCCGTCTGGGACCATTCCTCGATCAAACTCACGCGAACCGAATTGCACCTCAACAATAAATCTCGTCTTGTCTGTTCATTCTCACAAATGACCGAAAACTCAGCGCTGGCACGATCGTAGTATAGAGATATGGAGCAAAAAGAGGCGCGAGAAGGGACGGGACGATGAGACCTACGACAAGAGGCACGAGGAGGAAGATTACAAGAGGGAGAGGAGGATGGAGGAGGATGACAGGGAGGGCGAAGGACGACCAGAAGGAAGACAGCGTGGAGAACGAGGACAGCGTGGATGAGGTGGACGCGAGAAAGACGATGGCAAAGAGCATGAGGAACAGGAGGACGAGGATAATGAAGAGGACGAAGACGACGAGGAGGAAGACGAGAAAGAGAAGGACAAGGAGGAGGACCCAGGGGAGGTACAAGGTTGAAAGCAAATTGAAAGGACGAGAGGAGGATAGCGAGGAGGACGAGGTCCCGGGGAGGGCGACGAGAGATACGAGGATGAGAAGATTCGCAATTGGACTCGGTAAGAAGGGCAGGAAGCAGATGTCAGAGTACTGCACGCAAACGCATCGCCGCGAGCTGGGCGTATAACAGGGAACACAACAAGGACGAGTGCCGGGTCGACTAAACATCGACATATGATACAAAAAGGTGCGAGGGCGTGTTCCCTCCCATCAAACTGAGGCGACGCTGGGTGATGAAAGACACGAGGTTATCATGCCCACGGCACGCATCTGTTATTACCTCTTCCGCGGACCAGCAACACGGTCGCCACCAGACTAAGAGGACTGGGACGATGAGGAGGACGATAAGAAGAACGAAGATGACCAGGAGGAGGACAGCGTGGATGCGGAGGGATACAACGGGTTGGCCAAAAGACAAGGAGTAGGACACGGACAAGGAAGAGGAGGACAAGGACGAGGATGAAGGCCAGGGGAAGGACCAGCAGTAGGACAGCGCAGAGGGCGTACTGCATCTGCCAAGCACACACGCGAGGAACATTGGCTCGCTCCATACTCTCAGGTCGCCATTAGCCACCACCAGAGTGGTGCGTGAAGAAAAAAAACGACCAACTCAGCATACGGCAAGCTCGTGTGGTGACGACTTCGGCACTGGTCTAAAACGCCGCGTGGATCGTTCAGTCATGAACGATCGGCGCTTTCCGATGACCAGCGCAGATCGTTCGATATGGGCCGATTCGCGGTCACTGGCGGCACTCAACCTTGAACGCTCGCGCTGGGGTAGACGCTGGGTCGACACGATACGAACCTATCGTACAACGAACATCGCCGCGACCCCATCATGGAAACTGCAGGGGCCAGCAAACCAGACAAGCCTGTGGCGTGAGATCTGGCCCAGCGTGCACAGCGCCTCGAGGACGGCGAGGAGGGTGAAAAATGAAGGGGGCGAGGAGTCTGAAAAAAGGGGAATGCGAGGACAGCGAGCGAGGGGACGACGAAGAGGATAGCGAGGAAGACGGAGATGAAAGCGAGGACAAAAGAGAAGGAAAGCGAGGAGGACGACGAAGAGAGCGGGGACGTGGAGGAAAAGGGGGGCTCTTGAAAACCAACGGGGCACCGTGACGACAATATCGTGTGCTCTGGATGCGACGCGACTGACGACTGGCAAAACAGGCGGAGTCGAAATTACCCCCTGCGGACCCGACCCTGGTCCGTTTCCCAGGAAGGATACGACGGTGTAAAGTCCGATCCTGTGTTCTATGTGTTTCGCGATAGCGGCCGTTTCTGGCCCGGGCAAATCAATTAACGCCACGATTCGTGCAGACCTCCGATTTGGCATTGGTGATTCCTGAACATTGCCAGGCGGCGCCGACGCGAAACGTGACGTTTCTGGCCCCCGTCCCCCTCCCCGCCCTCCGCCAACGCCCGTAAGCGCTAGCACGATTACCAACTAGGAATTACACGAATCCGCGGGCGCGCGCAAACTGCCTATGCATGTTAGGCACAGTCAGAGAGATCGGATATCCCAATACCATATCAAACCACAAAAAAAATGTCACGACAATGTTTTCGGATGTTCGTTGGATTTTCTCGAGGGCCCTGCGAAACATTCACATGGGAGCTCTCCTCGGGCCATTCTGAAACACTTGTTCGAGGCCTCTTGGCGCCTCCTGCTCGGGCCCTTGGGGGCCCTCTGCCTTGAGGGGCACCTCCTTCTTCCAACTCGCCTTCCTCCTCCTCCTACACCTCTGAATCGAGTTCCAAATGATATGTCTACCTCTCGTTCTCTCTCTCTCTCTCTCTCTCTGTCTCGCTCCTTTTTTGTTTTCTCTCTCTCTCTCTCTTTCTCTTTCTCTCTTTCTCTGTCTCTCTCATTCTCTCTCTCTCTCTCTCTCTCTCTATCTCTTTATATATACAACGTTGTCTCTCGTTATGCCTCCCCCTCCCTCTCTCTCTCTCTCTTTCTCTCTCTCTCTCTCTCTCTCTCTTTCTCCCTCTCTCTCTCTCTCTCTTTCTCTCTCTCTCTCTCTCTCTCTCTCTCTCTCTCTTTCATGTACATATAACCACGCGCGCTTCGCGCGCGTAGGTTCCAGCTATATTGCACGGTCAAACTTTGAAGACCACTATGTTTAACCAATCTCTCTGGAGCACCCAAAAACTACGGCAACGGCCCAAGTGCCTTCCAAGACCGCCTGAAGCCATCCCACAGCGACCTAATAATGGGTCAAGAGCTTGTCGCCGTCGTATACTTACGTGTGTATGTATAAATATACGTAAATGTGAAAAACATGTGTATATTATTAAGTATCTTGTATGTATACGTGTGCAAACAAATGTATAATTTTATGAGATGGTAATGCATCAGTACACATTCGCCAGCCCAACGGGCCAGAGGCGTGCTAAGATCTCCGGTAAATGGTAAACAGTATTTCTGGTTCGCGCGCGCGGGGCGGCCCCTGGGGGTCCCTGGATCAAAAGTACCCCGAGAGGAGCCGGGGACACGCCCGGGACACGCCCAGGACACTCCCCCAGATCCTCCAGGATCGCCCCAAGAGGGCCCCAACACAATCCAAGAGAGGTCCGAGACGCCCGAAAATCGCCCCACGGCGCCCAAGATGGCCTCCAGACGGCCCAAGAGGTTTCCAAAATGACCCAACAAGCCTCCAAGATGCCCCAAGAGGCCTCCAGGAGCATTCCCAAGAGGGCCCCAAGAGGCAAACAATCAATGCTTTTCCATAGGTTTTGGACAGATTTGGGCGTTTCAACCTTTTCGGTTCCCCGACGCCCCTAAACGGCTCAAGAGGCCTCCAAGATCGCCCCAAGAGGGCCCAAGAGGCCCTCAAACGGCCCCAAGACGGCCCAAGACGGCTCCAAGACAGCCCCAGAGGCCTCCAAGACGGCCCAAGAGGGCCCCAAGAACGCCCCCAACACGGTCCAAGAGAGGTCCGAGACGCCCAAAGATCGCTCCACGACGCCCAAGATGGCCTCTGGACGGCCCAAGACGTCTCCAAGATGGCCCAAGAAGCCTCCAAGATGCCCCAAGAGGCCTCCAAGAGAACCCCCAAGAGGGCCCCGAGAGGCAAAAAAACTATGCTTTCCCTTTGGCTTTGGACAGATTTGGGCGTTTTAACCTTTTCGGTTCCCCGACGCCCCTAAACGGCTCAAGAGGCCTCCAAGATCGCCCCAAGAGAGCCCAAGAGGCCCCCAAGAGGGCCCAAAACGGCCCGAGACGGCTCCAAGACGGCCCAAGAGGCGTCCAAGACGGCCCAAGAGGGCCCCAAGAACGCCCCCAACACGGTCCAAGAGAGGTCCGAGACGCCCGAATATCGCTCCACGACGCCCAAGATGGCCTCCAGACGGCCCAAGACGTCTCCAAGACGACCCAACAAGCCTCCAAGATCCCCAGGAGGTCTCCAAGTGCATTCCCAAGAGGGCCCCAAGAGGCAAACAAACAATGCTTTTCCATAGGTTTTGGACAGATTTGGGCGTTTCAACCTTTTCGGTTCCCCGACGCCCCTAAACGGCTCAAGAGGCCTCCAAGATCGCCCCAAGAGGGCCCAAGAGGCCCCCAAGAGGGCTCCAAGATGGCCCAAGACGGCTCCAAGACGGCCCAAGAGGCCTCCAAGACGGCCCAAGAGGGCCCCAAGAACGCTTCAAGAACGCCCCAAGAGGGGGTTCACGAAACAGAATTTCGAGCTCTCGGCCCTTAGAGGCCCCCGGGAGGCCCCAAGACGCCCTCAAAGGCCCCAAGAGGCCCCCAAGAGGCCCTCAAGAGGCCTCAAGAGGCCTCCAAAAGGCCCTCTGGAGGCCTCCAAAAAACCCTCAGGAGGCCCCCAGGACGCCTCCAAGACTCCAGCCAGACGCGACTTGGGAAACGCGGGTCGGGGTGGTCCTCCTCCCCCGCGTTCGGCCTCCAGCCTCGAGCCTCGACCCTCCACGACGACGACGACGACGCCGGCGGGCGGCGGCGGCGGGCGGCGGCGGCGGCGCGACGACGACGACGACAAAGGCGCTCCTCATCGCTCCTCATCCCCCTCCTCCTCCTCCTCCTCCTCCTCCTCCTCCTCTTCCTCCTCCTCCTCCTCCTCCTCGTCGTCGTCCTCCTCCTCCTCCTCCTCCTCCTCCTCCTCCTCCTCCTCCTCCTCCTCCTCCTCCTCCTCCTCCTCCTCCTCCTCCTCCTCCTCCTCCGGTCCAATTAGAAAGGAGATGGTAAGAGAAACGCCACAAGAAAGTGTTCCTTCACGCCCGTGTCCGCAACGCCAGAGGACATCAGGACGATAACAGAGCCAACGTTAGCATTCAAAGCCCGCCACCCTCTGACACGAGGGTTCCCCTATCGCATAAGATGTCTCTTCCCCCGACTCGAACGGCCCCACAGCGGGATACCACGGGTAACACGCCCCCACGCTGGCACCAAAGCCGTCAAAAAAACTGCAAACACCTGAAGCCCCATGAAAAACAGCAACAACAAATATGCCGACAACTACTCACCTCCCGACGCCGCAGCTCCACACTGCAAGCGACCACTCGGACACGCGACCACGGTGCGACATGATGGGCCGGCGGAATGAGCGAAGCGATTAAATACATGTGCATGTGCATATGCAGATGTACGTGCATATGCATATGTATAGGTAAACGTATATGCAAAGTGAAACACTTTTTAAAACCAAATATTAGTCGCGGCGCTGCAATGCGCAAGTAAAGAAAAAATGAAGGCTGGGCAAACTGGACCGCCGGGGACGCCCCCGCGACCGCCCTGGCACGCCGCGCCCAGGGGCAGATTCCTGCGCTGGGTTCACGCGCTGGGGCAGGTCTTCAGAGACCCCCGCGTCAACGACGATCGGCGCCGACGCTTGGCGCGTCAACGACGATCGACGCCGGCACTTGACACCGACGCTCTGCACCAACACTCGGCGCCGACACTCGGCAGTCACACTCGGCGCCGACATTCAGCACGGACACTTGGCGCGCGCACTCACAATGAGCGCACTCTCAGCCGCATCGCCTAACCCGAGTGCACTCGCCAGACTGTACTCTGGTGAGCGCACTCTGGGCATCCGAATGGGGATGCCCAGAGTGCAGCGACCCACGCATGGCAACTTTCCCATCGCGAACAACACGAAAAACGCCACACGCGCGCGTCGGCACATTGTTGGCGGCAGCGATAGACGAGAACGTACAGACCGCATTCCAACTTGGAAACCCAATCGGCAACCGCTAGAAAAGGCTCGCTTCAATTTGCAGGCCAGCACGGCTGCATTCCTATCGCGGACAAAGCAGAGACCGCCACGCGAACGCGCGCGTCGGCGCAGCATAGGCTGCACCAGTGGACGACAACGTAAAGACCGCATGTTACGAGGGAGGTCCCATCGGCGATCGCTGAGGGTTCCCTACTAGTTCCCAGACCAGCATGGCGACTTTCGTACTGCGGGCAACACAGAAACCGCCACGCGCGCTCGCGCGCGTCGGCGCACTGTAGGCTGCATCCATACACGAAAACGTAAAAAACAACATGTTAAGCTTGAAACTCCAATCAGCAAGCGCTAAGGGGTCACTTTAGTTCCCGGACCCGAATGGCGACTTTCTCATTGCTGACAATACCGAAACCGCCTCGCGCGCGTGTCGGCGCATTGTAGGCAGCACCAATAGACAAAGGCGAAGGCGAAATGACCGCATGTGAAGTTGAAAAGCCAATCGGCAAGCGCTAAGGGTTCACGCTAGTTCTAAGGCCAGCAACGTGACTTTCTTTCCTAGTGCGGACAAAGCAGAAACCGCCACGCGACAGCGCGCGACCGCGCATCGCAGGCTGCGCCAATGGAAGAAAATTTGCCTGGCGAAGGACCCAACCATATGCAGTTGTGGGTATCGCATTCGGGGGGGCCCCCTATGGGGCGACGAAACGCCGTCCTGGCAAGGGGGGACGCATGCGAACTGCGCCACAGGGACCTTCG